AGGTAAAGTTACGATTAGTTAGGGTTAGAGTTTAAGGGTTAGGGTTAGGGTTTAGGGTTAGAGTTAGGTAAAATTGTGTAACAATCATTTTTTGTTAGTCACATGACAGGGTTACCCTAGTAAAATTTTGAGATATGGCTAGGAGTGCAATACATTGCAGGTGCAATAAAAAATAAAATCCTAATTAAAATATTAATTAAATATATTAATTAAATATATTAAATTACTACTAATTAACTTATTATTTGTTTATTATCATATATTTACAATATAACAATAATATAATTATTATAAAATAAATATATTAATTAAATATATTTTTATTCTACTAATTAGCTCATTATATTTATAATAATAATATAAATAAAGCACTACGGTGCCACCTGGATCACATGATCAATGTACGATTTTTTTAATTTAAAATTTTATTAATGCAAAATTTATCTCTTGCATAATACAGGATACAAGTACTATCTACACGCAAATATACATTCTTATATACCAGCATATTACGAGTTTACTATTCTATTGGCTATACACAAATATCATTCTCATATACCACTATATTACGGTTTTAACTATTCTATCGATTATATGCAAATATACATTCCCATACACTACTTTGTTATACTTAGTACAGTTTGTGTTGCTTTGCTTCGGCTCTTCGCTCCCTTCCTAAATGCTCTTTCATAAATACCAAGAACCGGATGAAAAGCCTTGAAATCCTGAAAATATCCCAAAAACTCTAAACTTAAGAAACCATACTTCCCTAAATACTTCAAGAACCGGAACGTAAAGCTCAAAGAAATCCTTGAAAAATACCTGAAAAAAAGTAGTAAACATCTCCAAAAACAAAGAATGACAAGTCAAAATTCATACTCTTCTGAGATTCCCAAGACTGGAATATGCAAGTCAAGCCAAAGAACGAAATAAAAAGGTCAAAAAGCCATCTAAGATTACTCTATATAGGCAGCAAAGTTCCAACAGTATAACGTCAAGACCAAAAGTGACGAAATCCACTCAAACTACAGCGACGACATTAACTGTAGCCCAAAAAAAAAAAAAAAATAGAAAACAAGAGTTAGTCAAATGTAAAAAAGTGAAAAAAAACTGATTATCAATAATGATCGCTGATTATAAAAAAATCAAAAATTTTATATTCGAAAATTGTTCTTAATATTCTTGGAATGTTATATATTTAACTTTGTATCTAGGCTGTTATAAAACATTTTATGCAAATCATTGTCCTTGTGATAGTCATAAATTCCATTTGAGTAAAAGATAAAAAGAAACTACTTCAAGAACCAGAATGTAAAGCTTAAAGACGCTCTTGAAAAATACCCGAAAGAAAAAAAGTAAATGTCTCCAAAAACAAGAATGACAAGTCAAAATTCATACTCTTCTGAGATTCCCAAGACCGGAATGTCCAAAGAACGAAATAGAAAGGTCAAAAGGCCATCTAAGATTACTCTATCTAGACGGCGAAGATCTAACAGCATAACAGCAAGACCAAAAGACTCACCAGTGATTATTCTAACTAAAAGTGACTCAAACTATGGTAACTCCAACAGTGACGACGTTAACTGTAGCCCGAAAAAAAAAAAAAAAAAAAAAGTTAGTCAAATGTAAAAAAGCGAAAAAAAAAACTGATTATCAATGATGATCGCTGATTATAAAAAATCAAAAATTTCATATTCGAAAATTGTTCTTAATATTCTTGGAATGTTATATATTTAACTCTTTGTCTAGGCTTTGTTATAGTTGTAAATTCCGTTTGAGTAGAAGATAAAAAGAAACCTGATCAATTACAAATCACCTTTATACTATAGTCTATAGATTTATAAATTATAACGTCATTATAGATTATAACGTCATTATAGTAAAAATTTAGCGATCGTCATAAGTTAAATTTAGATTACCTTTTTAATACTTTTAGGAGAGTTTTTATATAAAAATATCAAGAACGCAAATTATGCAGTAGGTAGATCATATGGGTTGCCGTCAAATACGGAAATAAGGTAGATTGACATTTTTAATACCCTAACTTCCACAGCTCATAACTCAATGAATGTTGAGGATATCTTAATGATTTAATGTTCAAAAGAAAGCTTAGGTCGCAAGCTTACTTTTGAATATTAAATCATTAAGATCACAATATTTATTGCGTTATGAGATGTGAAAGTTAAGATATTAAAAATGTCAATCTGCAATATGTTCAAAAATTCAGGTATGTTACATATTTATTTTGGTACGTTGAAGATTAGTTTCATTTATAACTCTAGTTTCACCATTGTACACCATGTCTTATTTCCAATTATTCACTAAATATAGGAGGATTAGTAATAATTATGTTGTATTTACTTTTTAAATTTTTAAATAAATTACTTTGAATAATTTTTAAATTCGTAGCATATCTGAAAATGTTACAACAGTTTGATCACAAACATATATAGTAAAAATTATTATTGAAGATTTTTTTTTAACCAATTTTTGAAAATTTCAATTTATAAAATTATTATTAAAAAATGCTTTCGCGCAAACTTTAATAACTTTTGTTATAGTGATTTTTTTTAATTATGCAAGTTGATACGTATTTATTCTTTAAGAGTGTCTCTATCAAGTAATAACTGCATATTTTTTAAATATTTATAAAGTATTATAAAATTTTTTATACATTATAATAAAATTTCTTATAATTTCTACGTATACACATTATAATAAAAATTTCTTATAAATAGTACAATTTCAAAAAAATCTTCACTAATGATGTTTATTATATATCTTGCTCTAAATTTGTAATTAAACTGATTGTTAACACCCCAAATCTCAATCAATTATCACCCAAAAAATGATTCTAATGTTCTAATATAACATGCTATATTACATTGTAATAAAATTCATTTAATACATATCTATTATTCATTTCATCATGTTTAGTATTGCACGTGTCTGTGCAAGCATGCAAAAAATGAACACGAGAAATATGATTAACATAGTTAATTGGAAAAATAAAAGTTTTGTCAAACTTTCGAACGTAATATGGGCATTCCAATACCGAATCAAATGACTTTGTTCTCTGAAATTTCTCAAATTGAAAAAAAGCGTAATTTCATTCATTGTTTGCTTTATGCTTAAAAATTAGTCTAATTTTAGTATAGGTAATGTTTCCTGGATTCTCTGTTAACTACATGAAATTTCAATTTAATAGAGTCTTTCTCATTATTAAGAAAAGTGTATGTAATGTAGTTGTAAAATTCTAGCTTTTTATTTAGCAACGCACACTGAAATCCAAGATATTGTGCATATGAATTTAAGAGATCTCGAAAAAGTAGATGATTTTTATTTATTGTTATGCTTAAACCCATATTTGTTATTTTCTTGATGTTTCACTGTTCTTTAAGTTTAATGTTAGTAAAATTCTCATCATGGCAAACAACGCACCCAGTACCTAAAAAATTATTTTATATATTTAATAAAAATAAAATGCCTTATTAAAAATTTAAATTTACTAGTTACCATTATTTGTCTCATCTTGTTCAGTTGTTGAGGTGAGTGGTGTATTACTAAAAGCATACCAATTTGAGAAAATTTTATTAAGATAGGGGTTCATAATAAGATTAGGAAATGGATTGGCACTGGTACCAAACCGAGATTTTGCCAGCCATCAAAGATATGCCTTAATGTCTGTATTGTATTATAGTGTCGAGTGAGATCAAGCTCAATAATCTTGCAGTTTATATGGGGAACCATTCCCTTGAAAATGCGGTGAACCATTTCTTTTACACCAACAGCAACATTTGTTAGTGTTGCGAAGTTTCGAGCATGTTGCGAAAGATGTACATTTGCATGAAGATTAGGTAGGTTTTTAAAACATTCTGGAAATACCTGTTTTTAAAAAAAATAATAATTAATATATAATATGTAGTAAAAATTGTAAGGCGGTTTGAAATTAAAATTTTAATTCATATATGTTGCTATTTTCAAAACTTTATACATATATGCTAGTGATTATTGTATAATGCAATTCTACAATTATCATTATTTTCTTTAATTTCTCTTTTAGCATTAGGCTGTTTGAAATTGTAATTTCATTTAACATTCCCTTTTGAAGCTTAAGCACAGTGGAAGATGGGTATCAATTTAAACAAACATTATGTTATCGTAAAATAATCATGGTTGGCTTGTAGGCATGTGACTTATTGGCATAATGAACATTTTGATTAGCCTGTTTAATTTTAGAAGGAGCTTGTGGATGTGGAGGGGGTGAATAATAAATGAAATTTTAATTTCAAACAGCCTTATACGTAGTGGTAACACAATTTTAAAGTCGTGACTCTAATAAAATTTGGGTAAAAAATATATTAAGACCTAATTGTGAAACAAGTAATTTAAAATTAGTAGGAATACTGTGCTATAGCATTACAAAAATGGTATTTTTAATGAATCAGAAAAAAAGAAAAAAAAACTCATCTTTCAAGCTTGCAAGTGATCCCAGACCAAAAGTAATAAGAACTCAATTAAGCAAAAATTTGGTGGTCCCGTGATCATTGGGCCAATCAAACCAAAACTTAAGCTCAAAAAATACTTAAGATGGGTAATATCAACCCATCTTAGATATTTTTTGAGCTCAAGTATTGGTCTGATTAGCTCGATGATCACAGGACCACCAAATGCTATCCCAATTGAAGCCTTAATTATTAGATAAGTATAGATAGTGGTTATGTATTATGGTTTTGTTTAAGTAAAATCTGCTTTAAAATTTTAAAATATAGCTCTGAAAACAGCTGAGAGCAGATAAAATTAAAATTTTAATCTCAAACCTCCTAATAAATATAATTTATAAAGACGTACTTGAATAATTATATTGCGCTCTTTCATTAATAACTCTTGTAGTTCTTGATAAGTAATATCAGTCATGGGTGCCGTGAATGTAAGTTTAATTGATTTAGCCTCAATAGCCCAGAGAGAACATAATTGTGTAACAACTTTTCATTTACCGAGGTTTTCTTGTAATTTTTTTTAAAATTTCAGCTTTTATATGCTGAAATTTTAAAAACTGTCGAAGTATAAATGGCATCAATATAGCAAGCTTTAATGTATCCGAAAACATAAAGCTTTGACGATGCCTTAACGGATTGGACATTCAAGTCCAACAAAGATGTTTTTCGATAGTTTTCCAACTTTTTAAAAAGGCCTCCTCACCACTTATGTCATACGAACATTGATGTCCTTGAGATTATATGATAATAATCAGTTAAAAGTTAGTTAATATTTATTATATTATAAATTTAAACTTAGTATTAAGTATATTAAGTGTCGCATTTAATAATGTTCAAGCTTTACCTTCTATCGAATGATAAATATCCTGTGGAGTCTGCATATGCTGATTCCATATAAGTGAATTAAAAGGCCCAGAAGAGATTGCTAAACTATACTCAGTAGCTAATCGTCCTTTATTAACTTTGCCTTTCTGGTATTCGATATCTAGTAATTGTTTTTTAGTTTGTTATCGAAATCGAGCATTTTCAACATAGTTATAATTCGGGCTAGTAAGTTGATCACTAGCAATATTACATGTACGACATCTGTGAATGGCCCCGTGTCTTTTAACACCCACAAGGTTATTACCTTGGGGTAAGTCTGCTGTTATGCACCTGAGACCACCTACAACCCATGTACTCCTGTGTATTGTATTTATAATTATGCTATTCTCTATTCATTTTATATTATTGAGTACAGGTTCGAATTTGGCTCCAAATAGAACTAAACCAACTAGAAAGTAGTTTTTAAGTAGCTTATGAGAAGAGAATAGCATGTTACCGAATTGTAAGTATATACCACCTAAAGAGTTGTATACATTTCTAAACGTGCCAAAATCATCTACATAAAGGTCAAGAAATATTTTTAATACTGGCATGGGTTGAGGTGGTGGTTTATATATAATATACTCCGTAGGTAATTGACATCTTTTTGAAATATCCTGAAATTTCCAGCAACCACCAAAATTGTAGATAATTTCTCGAACATGAAATTCATAATTTTCAGGCTCTTGTAGCCACACCACAATATGTCGATTAATATTTGCTAAACCAATAAATATAGGATTATCCTCAACTAGGCATAACTTTTCATTGTTCTCACGATTATAGCGAATATTAGAATGATTACTTGGAAGATCCTTATTTTGAAGAAGTCAGTCAACTTTTAGTTTATGTGTCTTATCTATTTTATTAATTACTATGCCGCAAATGCGGCATAACTTTTTTTGTTCACATAAAAGAAAATCACCGGGATGATAAAATTCTAATTTTTTATTTTATTAAAAAAGAAAAATAGTTATCTTTATAGATTAATATATAAATTACAGATAAAAAACACCTTTTGATCTATAGCTATTGACCAGGGACCTGCAAAAATTTGGATTTAAATTTTTCCAAATTTTTGCTCTCAATCTAAATGGTTCCAAATTTTAGCCCGATATCCAAATTCTGGTCAAATTTTTGATGATTTTTTCAGGTTTCATGTGATCTGACCAATAAAAAATCAACTATTTAGTAACTATTTGGGGAACCAGAAAATTACGAACCAAAATCAGAATAATGTCTAGTCAGAAATTTTAAACATGTCTGTCATGAAAATTCAGAATCGAACAAATTTTTTTTTTTAAAAAAAAATAATCCAAATTTTTATGCTTTTTTGTCCAAATTTCATCTAAATATTCCTAAAATTTTACACTTTTGGCCCAAATTTCATCCAAATTTTTGCAGGTCTCTGCTATTGACCCACTAAAAAAAAAAAAAAAAAAAAAAAAATTTACATATAAGGCTATGCAAAGTAAATATACTAACCTCTATCCTTATATTTTATTTGATATTCTCCAAAAAATAGAGATTTCTGCCAGAGATCTCCGTGCCAGAATTCACTCTTTTCTTCTTTAACTACGCCAGATTCAAAATGCATCTTGGACATAAGTACCTGGTTATTGAGCACGTGTTCCAAATACGCCAAGGGGGATATGACAAATGCTTTTTTAGTAGATAAAAGTGTAGATAGCGCTTTTTTTTCGCAAATAGGTATATTATACTGTTTAACTTGAAAAAGAGGTAGTTTATATCTCCATTTACGAAAACGTCGAATGTTTGTAATGATATCCTCTTTGCAAAATTTGGGATGCTTAAGGATTTTAGAAAGATCTTCATATGCACTAGTC